AGGCATGCACTACCACACCCAGCTAGTGATTTTCTCTGTTTTTTTAAGGATTGTTGATTATTGCATGGTTTGAACCAGTCTGTGCTACACCCTCTCTGGGCTCTCATAGCTGACTTGAAGATGCATACATCCAAGTACTTTTTGGGTTTCTTCTTGCATTCATATCTGGAGTGCATGCATGTATGAACTTGGGTGTTTTTTTTCTTCTTGGCACCATAGAATGCTTGCAGATGAGCTGCCTTGTCTTTTGCTTCCAGCCAGGATGCTTCTGGACCCCACTGGATGTTGTGAACATGGCAGGAGTGTGGACTGGCCTGAAGGCACTGTGTACGTAGCACCTGGGGCTTTCTTCCCACATTCCAGAGGGATTTGGTGATGTCTGTAACAACAAGTGGAGGTAGGGAAGGGAGTCAGGCTTGGCTCCACACTAGCAGAGGTGTTGGATTGAGTAAAGCTGATAAGGCCTCAGACAGGTCCTAGATCCTTCTAGTACTACACTCATGCTTCAGACACTGACCCTTCATGCTCCTTTCCTCTTGGGGGAGTTTAACTGTTTGTCTCTAGGGTTGGTGCCTTTTGCCAGCAGAACCTGCTGAGAATTGCCAGCAACAATTAGGTCGTTGGTTGCCAACTCCGTAACTCATGCACATAGCATGTGAAGGTGCTGTGAGACGCTTATGTCAGCCCTTCCCTGTGCAGTCAGCACACACCCCAGACATGATATTCACTGTGCTGCCAGTGAGCTGGGTTCTTCACAGTCTGTTACTTCACCTGAAAGGAAGGTAAATTGCTTCTCTATGGAAGGGGGATATTTTAGGTAAGCAATGCACTTAATAAATTGCTTTTATTTCTATATACAGGATGCTCTCTATTAGTTTGAAAAGTTTGCATTTCTTTGCAGTCAGTAGTTTCCTTTTCTTTCCAGGGATGGATTCAGATCTATTAAAATTAATTGTTCGTATGCCCTTGGGTTTATGAAAAATAATAAATAAGGTGTTTGAGAATTGTATCTTAATGCTGTCACACTGCTGTTCACCTTATTGTTAATTTCCAAGGGAAAAACATCTTCACTAAAAAGGGAAAAAGAGTGTCAGGTTTCAGAACCCTTTGCACCTTATTTGTGGAGCTTGTCAGCAGAGATGCCAAACGCTTTCCTTACTGAGTGTCTTAGAATAACATTCCTTTGAGGCCAAGTCTAGTCTGTGGTGGAAATTGAAAAAGATGCTGTCCAGACACTTAGCACTCTCTGTAAATTAGAGAGGCAGAGATGATCAATTTCACAGCGCAGACTTGACTCAGCCTAGCCTCACCCTTGATTTCACTCCCTGTCTCTGTTGTGAGTGGTCGTGCTGTGAGGTTCTGTTACCACTTCTAGGGAAGGTGGATTCAGTTTCCCCAAGCCCCAGAGCCTACGGATGAGCTGTCTGCCCACCTTCGGGAGTTCCTCCCCTGCAGCCCAGGAAGCAGGTGTGAACAGGCTCGATGTTCTGCAGGTTCTGAAATCAGGCTTCTCTCGTTTAATTTCTCTCGAGATTCTGACTTGTAAGGAGGCAAAATTCTTTTTATTCCTTTATAAGGCTTTGTTTTGTGCGAGGTAACTGTGTTCTTTGATAAAATCTAGGGTACTTAATAGCTGGATACACCTTGTTTCCCCTAAGCTGATCAAAGTGAAAATAAGAAGGGGAGAGACAGTGGTTTGAAGGAGTGAGAGTGAAGAGATGATTGGGGGATACTTTTAAATTCAATTTTAGCTTCAAAATCAAGACCAGCTGCTATTTACCTGGTGATGTTAGCTTCGTCGGTAAAAGCATCCTGCTCGGAGCAAATTGGAGTTGTTCAGTAGTGATATTCTAGAAAATGACATGGAAGGTTACCAGGTAGTTTTCTTCCCAGTATTGGATGCTACAATATGTCTCATAACAACAGAGATAATGTCGGAGGGTGGGGAGATAATTATAGTACAAATATAATAGTGTAGATTATATGCTGTAGGCACGCCGTCTGGGTGTTGTGGAATTGGAGAAGGCAGGGTGAATTGGCCTAGTTGACTGGAGGAGTGGTTGGGCTGGTGCGCAGTGTGGCCCCGGGCAGTGTGGCTTAGCCTGCCGTCTCACCTACAGTCTCTGAGCTACACTTATCCCAGGAAACTCTTTTTAAAAAGTTCAGCAAGTTAAGAGGTATGGTAAAACAAAAACAAAAACAAAAACAAACAAACAAAACACCCCCAAAACTAAAGTAAATGTCTAAATTTTGAAGAATTTATTACAATAAAAGACACATTGTCATTAATCACCTCAGAGTACTCTACCTCTCTTCTAACCCATCCCATCATTCTGGCTACTTTTTAAAGCAGTGTTAGATGTCCTCTTTCCTGTCTTTTGCTATGTTTTGGTGGCTGCTTCAGGATCTTTGGTCAGAAGTGGAGAATATCAGACCCAGTGAATGAGGTGGATGAAGGAAGGAACGGTAATATTTTATTTGATAGAAATTACCATAAATTTTTAAAAATGTATTTAGGACAGGGTCTACAGGATCTCACTATGTAGGTTGGACTCTAGCGATCTTCCTGTTTCAGCCTCCCAAGCTCTGGGCTTCCTGGTGAGCACTAACATGCCCAGTCTCAGTTGCCTCTTAGTGTGCCCTCAGGGTGGGGCTGGCCCCGCATGCTGGGGAGGGGATCAAACCCTGGGCCGCTGCACTCTGCCTAAGCAGGTGCTTTAATTCTCTGAGCTATCTGGCTGGCCCTGCCATAAATGTTTGATCAGCATGGTGTGATAAAAAAAAAACTACAGGGATATTTAAATTTTAAAAATGTATTATAATAAAAGATACATTGCCTTTCATCTTTCTCAAAATACTCTACATCCCTCACTTCAAACACACTTATCCCAACATTCTTGGCAATGTGTTTTACACTGTAATACTTAAAAAACTTTTTTTAAGGATTCCCTGTATCCTTAGCCTTATAATTCATGCCAGGATCTGACTTTGGGGGCAGAGGTAGATGATTTTGATCAGCCTCTGCTTGAATCAGTTTGATGATGTTGTCTAGAGGCAGTGTTGTTTAAAAGAACAGGTGTCGAGTCCCGAGACTCGAGGTAAGAGTTCACTGTTCTCGAACCTGGTCCCATGCTGAGGGTGATGTTTCCATGAGGTCTAGGCTGGGAGCTGTGTTTGGAAGGGTGCTGGGCCGAAGGTCCATCTGTGTTGTGCACTGAGAGATTCTGGAGGCTGGAAGCGAGAGTAGAGTACATCCCGTCCTTCTGCATCCCTGTTCCTTTGGTCACAAGGTTCTCTTTCTGGAACATTGCTTCTTCTTGGCCTGCCTTGGTCCCATGGCTAAAGCACGTGTGGATGGGAAGCTGCAGGTGTGTGCTTCAGCAGAGTTGCTTGGCTTCCATTTGTTCTTTGAAACCCCACTTCCCCTGTGTAGTAATTATGTGTGTGGTTATTTCTCCTGCTGCACTGTGAATTCAGTGACTGTTGAGACCTTGACTTTCTAAGGAGGTGCGATAAATGAATGCAGAAATGAATTAACAGATAGATGAGTGGTTCGTGGGTTTGCTGGGATTGACTAGTGTGTATATTAGTGGAAAATGATGATAGACTGAGAATGAACATCTTATGCAATTATGGCAGACTGGTGAGAGGCCTAACAAAATCTTAGCATTTAAACATTTGGGATTGGATAGTTTGTTGTGGGGAGACTGTCCTGTGCACAGTGGGATGTATAATATCACTAGATGGCCATTTGCTCTGGCTGTGATAATCAGAGATGTTTCCACTCGTACCAAGTGTCAATTGGGAGGGGTACCCCCCTTGATAAGCACCATACTGGGCCACTTCTTGAAACTAGGTAGGTGTTGCATGATTGGTTCTTGCCTGTGGGATGTATAGAGGTGGGAGGCAGCTCAGGGTGATGGCATCATGGTCACTCTCCTTCAGGTGTGCTGGCCACTTGCAAGAGCTTGGGAGAGCTATCTGAAGACCTAGGGTCTGAGGAGCCACAGACAGAAGGAGCCTAAACCCAGGTTCACTCAATGCAACTTGAAGAAGAGAACAACCATTCTTATGTTGGGCCAGAGGTACCGAAGTGCTTATTTTGGCGAGTCATATACCCTAGCCTTCCCTGACATCTGGGATGAAATGTTGTCACTGAAGCAGCCACCCAGTGTCTTCCGTGTATAAGGAAAGATGCAGATTCCAGCCACCTGTGGGTAGAAGGACAGAGGTTTTGCTTGTTTTTCTATACTTGTAGTATCAGTCTTATTGCTATAATTCTTGTAATTTCTACATTTTATCTAAAAGTAGGATAATGATAAATAAGCTGTTATTCCAACTGCTCTAGTAAGTTTGATATGTGAACAAAAAGGAGCTTTAAGCTATAAACACTTTTAGTGAAGCATAATAAAACCTCAAGCATACTAACAGTTTTTATTTTAATGTGTATGTATATGTGTGTAGCATCAGATGATGTTAAGATAGTTGTGACAATGTAGGTTTAAGGCATTTAAACCAGTTTTTGGGAAAAACTGGCAGTTGTTGATACCCTGGAGACACAGCTCTTCCCTACACCATTAATAAATAAATTACTGTATGCTGCGACAGTCTTTGAAATGGACTCTTGCATGCTTATACCAGCTGAATGCTGTGGATTAGTGTCCTTTAAAAACCCCAAAGCTATCAGGCCAAATTCAGTGTACAGGTCTGGCTTTCTTTTGCAGCAGTTGTATTTGTGGTTGTGTCTCCTCCAAAGAACCGCTGACCAAAATGCATAAGTTGAATGGTTTTCTTTGGTGCCCATCTGGATGTTAACAGCAGAGCTGTTTGTGGGAGACAATGGCTATTTGTGGATGAGATTTGCTGGTGGCTGAGGGGTTTGAATTTGGCTCTGTGATCTTTTGTGCCTGTTCTGTTTGCACAGGATTTGTGCAAAAGGGGCCACCGCCTCAAGGCATTTCACCCTGCCTGCCTATCTGCCTGTCAGTCAGAATTTCTGCCAGGAAACGGAGTATTTCTGGCTTGAGGAGAAGATGGTAAAGTCTCTTTCTAGTAAAAATCCTGTGAGGCATCTTAACTGGCAAATATCTGATTCTAGTAGTTTTTTTTTTCCCCTCCCACATAAAACATTTTCACAATAGTAAAAATAAGAATAGCTAACTCTTATGGCACCAATTGTGTGTGAACCTTAAATGTTTTGCATACAGCCTGTGCATAATCTTCATACCAGTCCTACAGAGAAAGGCAGAGGCAGAGGCACTATTAATATCTTATGTCAGAAGGATGGAGAAAATGAGCTTTAGAAAGTCAGAATGACTCTGTCAGAGTCAGATGAGGCATAGAGGGGTGTAATGATTTTTCTTTTTTTTCATTTATGTATTTGGTACAGGGTCTCACTACGAAGCTTGGACTCATGGTGATCCTCCTGTTTTCAGCCTCCCCAGTGCTGGGATTACAGGCATGGGCCACCACATCTGGACTCAGTGGCTGGCTCAGTGCACCCTGGTATGGGGCCAGCGTGGCATGCGGGACCGGGGATTGAACCCTGCTCCTGTGCTTGCTTAAGCAGGCACTTAGTCTACTATCTCCCTGGCCCATGTGTAATGATTCCTCTAAGATCACAAAACAAGGAAAACCTAGGGCTAGAATTAGAACCCAACAATGGGGGTTAGGGATATAGCTCAGATGCATGAGCACCTGCCTGGAAATGCAAGGTTCTAAGTTAGATTCCTGGTACCACGAACAAACAAGCAAGCAAACAAACAAACCTGTGATAGCTCCAGAGCCCTTTGCAAAATGTCGCTACAACCTTTTCACTCTTTCACTCTGTTAATGAGACTTACTTTCTTTAGATTTCTTGTATAATTTTTATCTCTTTAACATCTGTATGTAATGATTAAAAAGTTATTGGTTTTATTGCTTTTTTGTATGGGTTCCACTTACTGTCTCAGCTTAGCTGTCAGCTGGTGCTCTTGTATCGTCCCTAACTCTTGGCATACCATTTAATGTCAGAACCTGCAAGTTAGCATGTTGATTTACTTTTCATACCCAGAGGTTACCTTGCAAAGAAGGAACTTGCATGCAAGTCTGTAAAATCCAGGTGCAAAGGATGAAATGGTGTTGGAGCTTAAAGGGGCAAAGATTACTTCCTGCTGGAAGATTTAGAATTAACTTCATGGAAAACTAGCACCTATGATGGTGTCTGTGAAGAATAGATAGTAAATTGCTGGGTGATGTGGTCTGGTGGGAATGAACTTTCCATGTGGTAGCCAGATCAACAACAGTGTGGCAATAAGAAGGGTGAGCTTTAGCTTCCACAACAAATAATGCTATAATGGAGGAAGGATGATATGGAATTGATGGAAAGGGGGTTTTGGGTTTGTGTGGCCGGAAACCATGAATGGCTTGGGGTTTGAAGGAACATGTGACAGTGTGAAGCTGCTTTGGGAAGCTTAATCCAGCCGTGATCAAGATGGATTGGAGCAGGAAGGGATAAAGGTGAGGAGGCTACAGAGTTCCAGAGAAGGTGCAGCGAAGACTGAGCCAGGGCAGGGTGGCAAAAGTGAGAAGTGCAAGTGAATGTAGGAGACGAGCTGCTCAGAGACAAAATCAGTAGACTTTTGAAGAGGTGAAGGTAAATACATTTTTAAGTGTGAGGCATTGAGAGAATAATGTGAAATACAAAACTGCAGGGACCAGATCTGTTTAGGAGAAGTCAAGAGTTCACTTTGGGAATAGCATTGAGCAGGGCAGTCAGAGAGCCGCACCTCGGAGAGTCCATGGCTGTTAGGAAGCTGAGGCTGAATCTCAGCTGCCGACAGGCAGGAGACCTTCAGGAGAGCTGGCTGTGGAAGGACATTGGCTGAAAGGCTTATGGAAGAGAATAATTGTGGTGTTTTTTTTTTTTTTTGAACAGGATACTTATATGCTTTGAAAATTAACACTGATATATTAAAGTTATGGTATAGCTTATTTTATATTTATTGGTCCCAAGTTGCTTATGATTTCTCATGGAATTAAAATATCTTGCAGACTGTAGACAGGGATTCCTCTTAGGGTGCTCTGCCTAGAATAGAGGGCATCTGGTTGCAAGAGCCTCTTGCCATCCAGACTGATTATCTCACCAGTCGGCTCATTTAGGATACCCACCTTCCTTCTTCCCTTTGTTAGGTTCAGACCCTAACTCTTCTTTCAGCACTCACTCTTAATCCCTGGTGATTTCTAGCTAGAAATGACATCTGTTGCTCTCAACATCTTGCACATCTTGCCTGTTGCTAGCTGTTGATCTGGGTAAGTGTGGGCTCCTCGGAGCCGGGTCTACCTGATTCATATTTGTATTCCAGGCCCCTCACTCATTCCTTTCGCTGATAAATGTTGGCAAGAGAGTCTGTCTCCAGTTAATTCTTAATCACTTTAAAGACTGCGGTGATGTTGTTCTTTTTTAAATTCCCTGCACTGTATTGGATATGGTTTCTTCAATGGTATTGGTCAGTTATCACTGAGAGAAACTTTCTTACTGGGGTGTGGTGATGCACGCCTGTAATTCTAGCACTCAGAGGAGGCCGAGGCAGGAGGATGAGGTCAGTCTGGGCTATAGAGTGAGTCCTTTTCACAAACAAACATGGCATAGACATTTTCTTTCCTCTTTGTATACATTAATTACATATTGGTAGCTGAACCTTGTATCTCTAATCAGAAATCTAACATGTTAGCTTAATTTGTATAGGTCACTGTTTGATTTTATTTATTTATTTTAAATGTGTTTCTTGTATGTAGCTCAGGCTTGACTTGAACTTACTTATGTGCTCTAGGCTGGCCTCAGATTCATGAACGTCCTCCTGCCTTGGCCTTCTAAGTCCTGGGATTATAGGCAGGTGCCACCAACCCCGGCCTGCTATTTGAGACACACTGATCTTTTTTCCATTGCTGGGTGGGGTAAGACTTGGGGCCTTGATTATGCCAAGCAGTTCTACCCTAGCTCAGTTATCTTAATTAATACTTCTCTTTGGTCAGAGTGCTACTGAAGTAGGGCAGCAGTGAAGCTGCAGCATGGGGGCAAATATCTAGGTAGTTTTGCCTTTTTAAAGCCATATGGGAAGTTTCAGGAATAGAAGTACAATGCTCAGCCTCAGATGTAACCATTGTAGGTCTGATATTAGTTTTTCTTTTTATTTCTGAAATTAAGTTAATTAGACAGAATTCATTTAGTGTGGTAAGAGGAGTGATAATGAATGAACAGAATGAAACAACATTTATTAAGACAGATTAGGAAAATACTCTGGGGAATGCAGAGGCTTTAATTTTCTTTTTGTGAGATTTGTTTACTAATAAGTTCTCAGCTCCATCAGCCTCATCAAACTCTGCGGAGGGTACCAGTTAGCTAGGATTTGCTCTCTGTGGCTCAGCCTGTTTTGTTAGAAAACAAGCACATTTTTTTCCTTGGATTACAGAGAAATACATTTTATTCCTTCAGAGACAGTGTTAGGTAAACTGCTGCTCAAAATTGACTATATATATATATATATATATATATATATATATATATATAATGGTCTACAGAATTTTACTACACAGATCAGACTCATAGTGATCCTCCTGTCTTCAGCCTCTCAAGTACTGGGATTACAGGTGTGCACCACCATACCCAGTCTCAATAACTTTCTCAGTGTGTTCTGGGGGTGGGGCCCACATGGCACACTGGGGATCGAACCCTGATCTCTGTTCTCTGCCCAAGCAGGCACTTTAATCCACAGAGCTATCTGTCCAGCCCCAAAATTGACTTTTAAATAATCAGAGTTTACTATGCTGTCAGAATAGGAAGCAAATGAAAGAGGTAGGTTTTTTTTTGCTTTAATAATTTTATTGAGAAACAAATAGCAATGAGACAGTTTCAAATCCGATTAGTAGGACTGTTTCAATAATTAATGCATTGCATATTGTTGTATTCTTAGTGGCTATTTATAGTACAAGAGGCAGGCATGATATCCTGTCGACAAACACTATTAGAACAAATCTTTCTATTTAATGAATTCAGAGAAAGTAGCTGTGTATCTATCCTATTTTGAATATACAGATACAAAATGGT